ACAATTTTTGAATTTAAAAAATAAAATTCAAAAACGTTTTTTTTTATCCTTGAGAAAGTAAATGTTTATTTTTATGATTAGAAAACAAAAACAAATTTCTTTTTTCTTTTTGTTTTATTTTAGATCAAATTTTTTTATTTATCACTCGATGGTATAAATATATTAGATGATGATAAGAGAATGTTAGAATATAATCTTCTTAATCAAGATACAATTCATATATTAAATGAAACAAATAATGAATTAATATCATCATTATCATTAGATCAACCAATAACACTTGATGAAGTACGAGATCATCATACATATCCATTATTAATTCATCGTCTTATGAAATATTCATATTTACAAGATGATTTTGATTTTATTGTTTTGATTATACATGCATTAATGCTTGAAAGTGGTTTTCAAATGGTAAAACAATAATAATTTCTTTTTTTTTGTATATTTTTGTTTTTAGGATGCTGAAAATAATTATGATTTAACAATAGCACGAAAATCATCAACATTTTATGTTATTCGTTATCGACATAAATTATGTAAAGAAGAACGTATTAGATGTTCATTAGCAATTATGAAAACAGATTCATTAGTAACAATTGATGGTAATTTTAAGAAAAATATTTTCAAAATCTATGATGGTTTTTGTTTTTTTCTAAGGTGTTGTGAATTCAATTTCACAAGCATGTGGAAAATTATCATTTAATATTGCAAATTATTTATATACACAAAAAGAAGGTAAAAAAAATTAAGATTTTCCTTTTCAACACGGCTTCAACATTCTTTGCATTTGTCAAATTGTTTTAGCGATTTGAGATTTTGTTTATTTGATGAATAATAGAGAAATCTAGAATGATTTAGTCTTTGAAATTTTACTAAGTTTTTAGTTCTTCACGTATTATGATCATTTACTCGAATTATTAGTGTAAATGAAAACCATCTATTATTCTATCAAGAGATTCATAACTCACAGGGTGTTTAATTATTTTAGTTTTGATATTGTAGTCTCTCAAAATCTTGTTTTTTTTACATTGTATTCTTATTAAGATCTGTTTATATGAAAATTCATATACGGAAGGTGACCATAACACTAAACTAAGGATTCGAACAGTTTTCATAATCATCATAAGTTATATTCTCAATGAAGAAAGACTATATATGAGGCTCAAGTTTCTTTTGGAATTATTCAGAATAAATCATGTATTTGATAAGAAATTAAAATAAAATTTTGTAGACAGCCATTTAATATTAGAAATCTCACACAAAAAAAATAGATTTCATTCCAACAAGTGAAATATTGATGATGCCGGCTGGGCTCCGATTCGTCCTATATTTCGATTGATTTTTCTACTTTTCCTATATTTTGTCAAAAAAGTGGAAAAATTTCACGAGATATGATTTCGCCCTGAGGGGGAGTACGGGGAGCTTCCTAAATTTTGCTCAATTTTTTAGTGAAAATAATTCCGAAAACGAAATTCTATATAGGAATTCCTATAATTTCAAAAATTTGTAATCGAAGGCCAGGATGCTGCTGACCTACATACCTAGCTAAGATTTGATAAGACAGGAAAAGAGTCTTTGTTTTTAAGAATGTATCGTCTGTTGATTTATAGTAATTTTTCGTCTTGTTGTTTTTTATCTTGTTCATGACTGTTAATCTTATTTAAGCAAAAGTCAGATTATTTTCTGTAAGAAAATCTACCTTAACTCATGTAATACTATGCTAATGAAGAATACACTTTCTTTTTTTTTCTCTCTCGTTGTAAAAATCAATGATGACATACAGAATTATTCTGTCATACTAAAGAATTTTACATTTCTTTATTAACTTTAATATATTTTAAATTTTTTCTTTTTTTGAAGCAACAACTTTAAATGCAACTTTTCCTTATCATAATCTTCGGAATCTATCACGATCATTTAAAGATAATTTGGCTAATCGTCTTCTATGTAAATTATTAGAAGGTAAATAATAGAAAAAAAAAATTAGATGTTGTTTTTTCTAGTTTCTATATTTCTTTAATCTTCTTAGAATCAGGACAACGATCGAGTGCAACATTAATAGGATTACCAAATGAAATAAAAGTAAGTCTATTATTTATATTTGTATATATTTTAGATACGACCAAAAATCATGTTCTATAATATTTCACAATAGTTCATTGAGTATAATAATATTAGAATTTTAATTAAAGTTATTTACTATTGATTTAGATGAAAAAAAAGGACGAGTTTAAGTACCGAAAACAGAATTGTTAATTTTAATGATTTCTGAATATATTACAGTAATTATAAGTTTTTATTTTTCTTCTCTTTTTAGCTTCGTTTAGCTAAATATCTACCGATTAAATCATTACTTGCTTTACAATCTACATGTCGTGATATTCACAATACATTAAATGACAATCTACTTTGGCATGATTTATGTATTCGAGATTTTGAAAAAGCTGGTAAGAATTTATCGAATTTTTTTTGTATGTAATAAGAGATAATTATTATGTTTTTGTGGTTATGGCCATAGAATATGTCACGACCTGATACAATTTATTCTATTTTAAAAGGCAGTTCATAATAACAATTAGTAGCGATGATAGATTTGACGCATTCGTGACATTTGTCTTATCTTGACTTTTTTTCTTATATTACTTTGACATATATCTTATATTTTCCTTGTTTGAATATGTACTTATACTCAGTAACTGTCGTTTGCCATTTGAGATCTAATTAATTGTTCGTTATTCATGTAGTTATAAACGAAATAAAGATTGATTTCCAAAACTGAAGATGTATACTTTATTATAAGATCTGAAATAGTTTATTAATCATGATTCTTTTTTTTTTGTTAAAGAATGCAAAGAATTATTGAAAAGTCGATAATATCAAATAATTTCTCAATTCGATGATGAAAGTGTTCAATAGACGTTAAAAAAGATTATTTTGTACGCTCATCACTAACTGCATATCTATTTCTCAATCTAAATTTGATGACAATGGACTAGAACATGTTTCTTCTATAAGCATGAATTCCAATGAGATTTACTCGAAAAACAAAATCCTCTACGTTAATATCATCAACCATGGATTAGCCCTAAACAAGTCACTAGGAACTTTTTGTCTTCAATAGCATACTGGCTATATTACGACACACATTTCCTCGTGTGTATGTGGAAAACTCAAGTAATTGATCGCAAAAACTCAACACTGTAAACTAGAAACTAAGTTATAGAGTTTAATGAAGGATATTCTAGAAATACTCATATGAATTCAACGATTAATTTCTACTTTCTTGAAAATAAACTATTGATATTCAAGTTTCAATTTTCTGCAGGAAATCAAATTGAATTTCTATTATTTGGAAAATCAAGCATTTTCTGATAGTTACGAATATATAATAAAATTTTGAAAATGCTTTAGCTTATTTAAAGTCGATTTTCTACAAAACAGAATTTAAATAAAATTTACAGTGTACATTACTCTGTCTGTTCAGAACTACAACTAGAATTAGTTGTAAGAAAGATCTTGCGTTCTTCAATCTATCGAAAAGTCAGAATTTTCTTTCTTCGTTGTTCGAATGCCACGATATATATTCATAAGATTAGATCTTAAATTAATTTTCTTTAATGTAACATATGATTTTTAGCTTTAGTTTCAATTCCGCATACTTCAGACAGTTCAACATATGGAAAAAATTGGTATAAACTCTATCGTATAATGTATGCTCAAAAACAAGCAACACTTCGGCATCAAATGAAAACTTCACCTTTTTTCCATCCAACATTATTCCCATTGGTTCCATCCGGTCATCCAACACATCGATTACTTTTTCCAGATACATCAACTACATTTCATCCATTTCCACCGACAATTTATCGACCTATTCCACCAGGGATTATTCGTAAGTTAAATTTTGTTTTTTTTCTTTATAAAAAAAATAAAATAATCAATTATAAATATTTTTTAAATAAAAGGCTTTTGTACAGCCAATACTCAACAAGCTCAATCCCCACAACAACAAGCTCAACATCATATTTATTGTCAACCATTTTTTGGTTTAAAATGGGTAGTGATTTTTGCAGGTAGGATTTTTGAAAATTTTCATTTGAAAATTATATATATATTTATTATCATTTAAGCTGCTACTATGATTCCATTACCATCATGTTTTCATCCTATTTGGCTTGGCTAATTAAAAAAAAAAATTTTTTTCTTCTTCTTCTTATTCTCATTTAACCATGATTGTTAGATTTTCACATACATAGATATAAATATATATATATTTTGTGTTGCAATGTATATAGACATATAACGGTCTCTCTTTTTCTAGTGCATCTCACCTAACATAATCATTTTTCTTTTTATTTCGATGTGTAATTACGGTGTGTGTTATTATTGAACATTGTTCTTTTGTGCGTGTGTATGTGTGTGTGTTATTACTAGTGATCTGCAACTCCTCTATTCTTTTTTTGTTTTATCTATCTCTTAATGAATAAGAGAAGATAGTAGTTTATGTGCTTTTTATTATTGTATCAGTGTGAAATAGTAATTTTGAAGAAAAACAAAAACAAAAACAAAAAAAAAAAATTAATAATTCTAGCATAAAGCTCTCTTTCTTATAAATTTATTTGCGTCGGGCATCATCATTTAGCTTCCAAAAGTTCATTTACGGGTGTTGTATTTCTATCTCTATCTATTCTATTCTATTAATCCATAACAATGATTTGTTTGTTTGTTTTTTTTTTGCACACTCAGTCTTTATGATATTTGTATTAATGTATGCTTAGATAGCAAAACTTGAAAAAAAAAAAAAAAAAAAAGAAAGAAACATTGTTTTGTTTTGTAGACGTGCGTGCTATATATTTCTTTCAACCATACATTCAAGCATATATAAAATTGAGTGTTTTCATGTATACCTATTCGTTTATTATATTAAACAATTTATATATATATATATATATCATCAACGTTGTTTCTTTTTTTTTTTTAGATATTTATCCAAAAAAATGTCATCTTTTATGCGAGATAGTATACTTTTGGATATTGAAAAACTTGAAACAATGTTAACAAATAGTAGCAGTAGTAGTCGTAGTAGCAGTAGTACTTCTTGTGATTCATCATCATTATGTATTTATCAATCATTACCATCACCAAATTCTCGTTCCATAACATCAACAACACGTTTTACAGGATCATCAAAAATTTATTTAAGAAATTTAAATAAATTATTAATAGATATTGAACAAAAACAAAAAATTCTTTCTACAGGTGGAAGATCAATTCTTAAACGTTTACATCCAATAAATTCATCATTTTCTTCACGTTCATTAACATTTACATCATTATTTACTCGTCCATCTATTAAATGTATATCAAATAATCGACTTGAACCTAAAACAATGTCATTTGGTCAATTTATTACACAAACATCTTCATTTCCATTATCATATTCAAATCATCAATCACAATATGGTTGTGCAAAATTAAATGAAAAAATGTGGGTTGTACATTGTCGTGAACAATTAATAAAAGCTGTTAATGGTGAACTTCAACAAACATCAAATGAAGAAGTAAATCATTTTTTTATATCATAAAATAATAACAAAATGAAATACTACTTCAAGTCCGATAAGAATTTACCGCTTCTTCTCCCTCTCATAGCAAATGAAGACGATAGACATTAGTTTCTTAGTAACGAAACAAAATGCTGACTACCATTAATAATAAGTGTTCTCAAAATTCGCATGATTACCGTACATGTATGAGTATTCAAAACAGAATGTACAGTCATCATATCATAAACATAGAAAGCGTTATCTAATCAAGTTATAACCTTAGGCAATAAAATCAATATCAGTGTTTGCAAGCTTATCAAAATCTATAGATATAATGAATATATACTACAGGCTGATTTGTCACTTAAATCAATGGTTAGAATAAAAAAAAAAATAAATAAAGAACTTCTGTGCGAAATATAAAAATCAATAGGGTAAATTATTTCTTGGATGATCGATTGTTCACATTACGTATTCTGTATTAGCACAAAAGAAAAAACAAAGTGTAAAAACATATTTCAATTCCAGATTTTTAGCTCGTAAGGCGCTTCATTGACAAGATGTTTTTATTCGAAATAGTCTATTAGAGTTTTGTTTCTTTTTGAAATTCTTACTTTTTATCCGAAGAAAAAAAAAACGATATGCTAAATAAAAATTACATTTTGTAAATAGAATGACATAGGATATACAATACTCAAAAATTAACATGATTTGACAAAATAATAATTTTATTTTAGAATGTATGTATGGATAAAATTAAAATATCACAACACGAATCGATTGAAGCAATCAGATATATTTTTTTGTGTTCTTTCGATTCGTTACAACAATTTTATCTGACGGGGAAACCACCCGAAGTGTCAAAAAGCTTTTGAGCTGAAATTTTGCCCACAAGTAGGGGATACATAGACTAGAAAAAGTCTAAAAGGATATTGGCCCAAGTTGGGATTTGACTGAGATATTGACTATTTACCATAATTTTCCTATAGTATCCTACTTGTCCAATAAGACCAAAGTTTTGAATTTAGGCCTGAAACTTTGTCTACACCAAGGCCCCAATCAGACAAGCTGGCCTACAAAGTTTCAAAACTCTTGGATAGACTATCTCCGAGATATGAATCTGCCAAAATATCTATGTGAAACACTATATCCATAAAAAAGCGTCTTCATGCTAACATACTAGTATCTCGGAGATAGTCTATCCCAGAGTTCTGAAACTTTGTAGGCGAGCTTGTCTGATTGCGGCCTTGGTGTGAACAAAGTTTCAGGTCTAAATTCAAAACTTTGATTTTATCAGACAAGTAGGATCCTATAGGAAAATTATGGTAAATAGTCGATATCTCAGTCAAATCCTAACTTGGGCCCATATCCTTTTAGACTTTTTCTAGTCTATACATCCCCTACTTGTGGGCAAAATTTCAGTTCAAAAGTTTTTTGACACCTCGGATGGTTCCCTCGTGAGAAAAGTAAGTTTCTCTATAGACATTTTCTTATTTGAGAATATTATCAGTCGATCGAATTTTAGATGTGTTTTTTTTTGAAATCTACATTACATTTATTCAAAAGATTCTACTTTCAGTTAAAAATCTTTGATAAAAACAAAAAATACAATTATATTAATTTAAATTTGAAATATTGATTAAGATAATAAATTTCTATTTAATTTATTTTTTTTTAGTGTAATCTTGATTGGAATCATATATCGAATTATCATCTTGATAATAAATGGTCAGCAAATGTATGTGAAAATGCATGGAAACAACTTTGTAATCCAAGAATCAATCAAGCAAAATGGACTGTTAAAGAAGAACGTCGTTTAATATCAATTGTTGAACGTGAACCATTAAGTGCTGATCGATGGATATCAATATCTAAAGAATTAGGAACGGATCGAAGTGCGTATCTCTGTGCAAAACGTTATATGCAGGTAAAAAGACAAATAATTCACGCTTCATATTTTTCTAGAGTGAGAGTTCACACAGAACACATCTTTTCTCACCAATCAAATACCCACCAAAAAACTAAAGTAATTGTATAAATAAACATATATATATACACATAATATATATATGTTATGGTTTATGAGAAAGAAGAACAAGTAGGCTATATATATATATAAATATATATGTATCTCATAATTTATTTTCTTCAGCTTCATTTATTTAATTGTCCGTTTGGGAAAGAAAAAATAAAAAAGTAGGTAGAAAAAAAATTAAATCCGGTCCAGAAGTAAGTTGTATTTATAAGGGAAAAGCATATTTGAATTAGAACACATACACAAAAAAAAAAAAAAAAAAAAAAAAAAGAAGAAAGATATTACATTTATTGAATGAATATTTCCTAATATAATCTTGGCATTTCGAATGGTCACAAATCATGTTTTTATATATTAAAAATTGATTATAAAAATAAACATGTTATTTTAAAGCATGAATTCAAACTAACTTTTAATCCCTATTCATTCCGATTGATTTTTTATTTTTATTTTTTTGTTTTTATAACTTCAAGTTCAGAGAGAAAAGAAAGAAAAAACCTTCCAAACAAATCTTATCTTTCAAATTCGTACAGTTTGTTAATGTGTTTTTATAATATCAGACATATCCATATCAAAAGACAATATATTAAGTAAAACAAAAACGATTATTTCTTTTTTTTTTTTTTTGTTTTGAAATATTTTTCATAATAATAAAAATTTTTCTTTTTTTCTTTTTTTTCTCGTTCAGATAATCAATGAAAAATATTCAAAACGTCCATTAGAATTAAATGAACGTAATCAAATAATATCAAATATGAAAGATGATAATCAAGGTTATTATAGAAAATATAATAAATTAGCTTATGAACTTGGTGATCGTACACGTGAATTTATTTATAATCAATGGTTACATATTGATCCATCATGTAAACGTGGTCGTTGGTCAGATGATGAACATACACAATTATTAACACATATTCATCAACAAACACATAAAATAACAAATTGGCCATTAGTTTCAGCACCTGTACAAACACGTTCATCACGACAATGTCGTGAACGTGTATTAGATACATTAAAAAATGGTAATCGTACAACAAAAGAAAAACATCGATTATTTACATCTGATGAAGATCGTCTTTTAATTGAACAATATAATTTACATGGTTCAAAATGGTCTATTATAGCAAAAGAATTTTCTTCACGTACTGATAATTCATTACTTGTTCGTTATCGTATGTTAATTAAAGCTAAAACACAATGGAATTGGTTTTGTCAAATTAATAATCGTATGAAATGTTTTTTATTATTTTTATATGATAAAAAAATAAATAATCAAACATATTTAATTAATAAAAATTTAATAGATCTATTATCTATATATAATAATAATGCTAATGAAATTCATCATGATTTAGAACAGTTTGGTTTTTATCGACGTGGTTTACCATTTCCAATAACTGATGAAGAATTTCAATGGTTTAATCAAAAACCAGAATTAATTGAAAATATTGCACGAATTACATTAGATGAATTTTCTCAAAAACGTTTATGTTTTAGAAAATTTAAGGTAAGAATTAAGACATCTTGTTTTTTTTATCAACCTATTAAGAATATCTGCTTCTCAACATGATTACAATCAATCAGATTTACATTTTTTTTTTCTTTTTGTCCATCGTTAGATGATTGAAAATTATTTGAGTTAGATCGATTGTATTCTAGTCAAGTATCGGAAGTAATTCAAAAAATAGAGAAAGACTACCGTTAATAACTTTATTTTTGATTATTTATTGTATTGATTTTAGGTGGAAATTAAACCATGGTTTACATCATTATCAATTATAACTGTTTCCGATGATGATATTCGTCAAATGCTTTATCGAACAATTCCTATTCGTAAAAAACGAAAATCAATAAATTTATCTTCATCAATAAGTAAAAAATCAAGAATTGATACAATTAATCATAATGATAATACTGATGATATTGATTGTAAACAAGAACCAAGAGTTCCTCAATTACCATCGATACTTACAACATCACGTCATGTTTTACGTCCAGTACCAAATCAATTTTTTACATCACAATCAACAACAAAATTATCGATGACAAGTAGTAGTACACATTTTTGTCCTTATCTAATTTTAATTCGTCAAAATTCATAAACGAACAATAAAGAAAACATTAGACACGTTCAATTCTTGTTTTTCGTTTTCTTTGTCTTGTTTTACTATTGTATAAATCTTATAACATACAAATATTCTATTTTTTTGGTTACTACAGACATGATCAACATAATAGTTAGTTTATAAAAAAGAATTCCAAAAAACAAACATTTTTTCAAAGAAAAAAAAAACTAGTATATGCTCAGGTACATTTGATAGACTTTAATAGTACTAGATTTGATAATGATAGTAATGAAATTATTTGATGGATTTTTTATTTGTATAATAACAGAAGAAAACATCAACTAGTTGCTAGTAATACTATCATTATTTTCATCGTCTAGATCTTAAGATGAAATAAAATATATGTTTTGATTGACTTTACTAAGAATAGATTTTAATTTTATATGATACAGAAAATTATATCTAAAATTTTTGACTGTTTCTGTAGTGTCATTAGTTTTCGAAAATCTTGTAAGTACAATAAATATTTTACGCGAGCGTAAACGTATAAAGTAATTGTCTTTTCTAAAATTCATCATTTAATTTCGTAGGATTTTAAAATGACAGTATGTAAAGTTCAGATATTCAATAAAATAAAACGATATTTCATGTTCTAATAGTATTTCAAAATTTCATTTATACGTTATAATAAACATTTAAATATCAAAGATTTCTTATATCATAAAATTATGCAATTCTTCTGATTTAGCTTTTGCTATAAATATTCATTAAAATTTTGGATATACACTTATTTAAAAAGATGATTTTTAATAGTTACCACTGAAATTATATGAAAAAAGTACGTGTGTAACTTAATCTTTATTTCTATATTAGTTGTATCCAAATTAGTCAAGAAATTATAATTAATAATCATTATAGTTTAACAAGAAAATTGATACAAATTAATATGAATTTCTTTTATTGCTATACTCATATATGAAAGATCTCAATCACTGTTGGACTAATTTGAGATTTATCGTTCACTTCAACATAGTCAATCATAATAGATCGATCATAGTTGTCTTTTTTATGGTAGAGACAAATAGAAATAATAAAAAGTAAGAGAAATGTCTGTTATCGAATATATATATATATGTTTGTTGTTCCTAGTTAGAAAAATCAACAAAGACAATCCATAAACATGAAAAAGTTCCAAAGAATTATTACTATTGAATTACTAATATGTTCCCGTTCTTTGTTTCTTAATAAATGTAAGCAAAGAAAGTTGATTAATTCATTTTTATCAGTTGTAATACAATCTTAGATATTTTTTTTTTGTTTTCAACAATATATTCAAAGAAGAAAAAAAAAAAAGCTTCGTTTTTAGAATAATCATTGATCAATAAATGATGATATTGATTTCCATAAACGATATTGAGCCATTTGTGTAGGAAATTGTGAACTTAATTCAACAGTTAATATATCTGCAAATTTTGCAAGTGCTTCATTTTTTCCATTGATTTCTTCATTACGTTCAAGTGTACGTTGTAAACAATCACGTGTAAATATTTGAGGATTTTTAAGATCATCAACATAGCTAAGATACAAGATATGAATTTAAAAAAAAGAAAAGTAATAATAACTTTATTTTCATTTTACTTCAGTAATTGACCAGGAATGTTTATGTCTTGACATTGTCCTTTCGTTTGATCAATATCTTTTAATAAACCAATAATTTCATTAAGAATTTGATCAACACGAGATTGAGATTGTGGTTGAAAATCAGTTACAGTAACATATAAATTCCATATTTTATCAATTAAATATTCTAATTCCGTTGCTAATTTAGTTAACGAATCACTCATGATTATATGAACTAATAATCAGTGATTAGTATTTTGATTATTAACCATCGAAAATACAGGATTGTTAGGTTAGTAAACCAATCATATATATTGGAAAAAAGAGTGCGCTTGACACACAAACACAATTTGATCAGTTCTTCTTCGGATAAGATAAGATATGGTGCAATGTGCTTAATTATTTGACAGTTTTTTATTTATATTTTGTTCTTGATTTCAATCACAAATATCTGTTAAATAACAGTTTAGTAGTACGTACCATTGACCATCATCATCATCTTTTAGTACGAAATATTTCATCAATTAGTAGTTCTCATTACTAATTAGGAGCATGATAAGAACTGTATACTACAATTCGATGACACTGATAATGATGTTCACTAAAATAGTGTGAATTCGATACTGATTATCATCGACTATTATATATATATATGGATATATATAAGCTAATCGGAATAAAGGCATGAACATAACGCCTGTTACAGGAATTGAACCAAAACTTCTGACTAGAATCGATTGAGATCTTTTTTTTTTTTGATCACATATAAACCCAAAAACACAATTTAAACAGCACAAATAAATTGATCAATCATATTTTTCAATCAATTTTCTATTATATAATAAATGATCCATGAAAAAATTATAATTAAGATATGAAATGGGATATAATTAATCAAAAAAAACATTTAATATATTTCCCAGTCAAATGAATACGAACAGTCTGACGTAGATGTATGTCGTGATGTTCTGTTTACGTCCATCATTCTGCTTTTTTTTTCTTATTTGAAGCAAGAAATAATATTGCGTAATTATGGTTTTAAAAAAATCTGGTCCCTATGAGGATCGAACTCATGACCTCCGCGTTATTAGCACGGCGCTCTAACCGGCTGAGCTAAGGGACCGATGTCATTTCCTGCGAAAAATAATAAATGGATATTCGTAAGCCTTGCGACCTTGACATTCAAAGTTTTTCAAGCGCGAAAATGGATATTCTTTGTGAAAAGTTTTTAATTTAAATTCAATTTATGACAAGAGGAGATTTATCTCAAACTTTTTCGTACGTTGATGTACACATACATTGCAATAAAGCACGATTCACTTGTACGATAATCCATCGATGAAGTCGTAGCAAAGTATTGTTTATCACTTCGTATACTGTCTTATTCTCATGTAAAAACATGTTCTATATCAACATCATCACAACTGAGAATCTTGTTAAAAATCAACGATGAAATAATATTAGAGTATAGATGTAAATGAGAGTAATTAAACATCTAACTAATAATCTCACCCTAGTTCTATCCAATTTATATTTTTCTTAAGATAAGTTCGATTGATCAAATAGTTTTCTATAGATAATTTTAAAAAACACAAAAGTTTCGAATGAATTGAGTTAAAATATATGAGAAAATGGCAAATATAAATTGTTTATTGAAAATTGTCAAAGAATTCAAAATTCAAGTGATATGGGAGCGGCAAAAATTCCCAATTTGAAATGTAGAGTATCAACAAAGATATTCCTTTTTTTCAGATCTGTTTCTGCAGTAGTTAAGAGAGATATTTAATCTCTTCTGTGTTAATTTGAATGAGTTTTATTTTTACCTTATGATTTATCTATTTGATAGAACAAGTGTAAGTATAGTATTCGAGTTTGAGTTTCAATAATAAGATTTTTATTATAATTTTCACAGTGGTTCTCTGCGCATAATTATAGATTAAATCAATGGTTCTTTTATGTTTCATATTCGACCATTCTTCTCTTAACATAGGATAATTTCATTTCGACTATTCAATGTTTTTTCTAGAGATTTCTTTTTGAAATCACCTTAAATCAAATGTATGAACGTACTTTTGATATAGTCTGCACAGTTTGTAAAAAAATATGGACATTGTTAGACATTGATATCAAATCATACGTTAGGGTAAGCCATCTGCTATTTGTCAATTAGATAGAAAAACAAAATTAAGTTTCTAATGCACAATCATGGCTTTACACGTATTGACGTCTCTTCTTGATTAATTAAATGTAAATAACGTGGATTTTATCCATCTTTGAGCAAAGAATCATAGACAGCAACGATGTTATTTGATTGTAATAGTGATACTTCGAGTAGGACGAAAATTTCTCATTATCAAGGTATAAATACTCGATGAAAAAAAAGGTAAATATTTGAGATAAGTCTATATTCATATTAGAATTTCGATCGACCAAATCTTTCTTTACAAACAATGACAACTATTTCATTATTTCATAGTTATTCACATAGACATCACTATGGAAGTTAGAATAGATCAGGTTATCCATATATGGATCGATCACCATATTATATGCTAGGTGTTCTCATTGTGTTTTTTTTCAAAAAAACATTCTTAAAAAATATTTTTATTTCGGTTTTTGTATTCACCCGGATATGATCGACATTTCTTTAATCAAACTACTTATCTCGCGACAAATATGGGAGGGATGGGTTATGGGAACGGTAGGCCTTCGGTAGACGGATCGATGATGTCTGGCATGAAAGTTGGTGCAGGCGTCGCTAAATTTGGTCCTGAGCTAGCAGATTTTATCGTGGGCTTATTTAATTGATTTTGATTAATATATTTTTTTGGCTATGGTCTCAATAATTGATTAGAGAGACAATGAACATTGCTTATTAACAACTTCTAGTTGAGAGACTTATCTATAATTTCAATATGAAATATTTAATCATTTATGTTAACATTGATCATTCTTTTTATGTACAGAGTGTTTTGAATTTCGTGTTAAACATCATTTTTAAACAATCCCTTTCCTTTTTTATTTCAATTATGTAACGATATCGTTTCAAATATATTTCTGTTCTCTAAACTGAAACAATAAGGTCTAGAAGCGGAAACTCAAGTGTTTTTCTGTCTGTCTCTAACATCGCTAACATATGGTAACTATGCTACAATTCAATACTGTAATAATAATTTAAACTATACTAGAAAATATTAGAAAGACATCACTCATCTAGTTCTTGCTGTTGAAGCAAACAGCCTAATTCGATCTATATAACAGTGTAGTTACCAAGCATTTCCAATAAATTATCAAGTCTACTAGAAGGTAACTTTATTGTGTAAAAACGAGCATATTATTGTTTCATAAATTATAATTTGTTAAGTAAATGTGACTATAGTATTATGACAAGCGAAAATCTTCTATCTAGACTATGT